TTAGTTAATGATTATAAACTTTTTCTATACTACACAAACACTTTTATACATTATATAAAATAATATATTTTTTAAATGCCATGAAAATATTTTTGAAACGTGTGGATTCTTGTATATCGACGCTTCCGCCCTTGCACTAAGCAAGACAAAGCACTAGCGAATGTTATGTCTCGGTTATAGCGAGACTAGCAACCGTCTTGCCTGAAGCTTTCTTGCAGCACTCACGGAAATGGGCCAGCCCAATAGAGGACCACTCTTTCATTCCCAGATGTGTTTGTTTGGTTTCTTCTTCTTCTTTTTCTTTTGTTTTTTGTTTTCTTTTTTTCTCTGGTTTTGTTTTTTTTCTTTGCTTCATCGTTATACTTTGTTTTTTTTTCATTTTTATTTGATTTCTCACTTTTTCTTTCATGTTTTTCTGTGGTTTTTCTTTTCTTTCTCATTTTTCTTTCTTTCTTTGTGTTCCACGGTTTTCTATTGTTTTCATTTGGTTCTTTACCGGTATTCACTATTTTCCATTCCTTTGCACTTGTTCTTTGTTTTTTTAGGTTTTCATTGGTTTTTTCTTTTTCTTTTTTCAGTCTTTTTTTTCATTCAACATTTTGTATGCCAGATTATGTCACTGTACTTTTGCTCTTAAGTGGCCATGACGACGTACAGTGGGCACCACAGGACAGGAAGAAGAGACGCTATTTGGTTCAGCAGCAATCTAATTTCCTCTCCCTTTTTTTTTCCTTTTCAAAAACCTCGCAGAAAGAACAGACGCTAACAAATTCCCTGATAATTTCAAAAAGAAGCTAGTACGAACTGTTCTTGGTTTCCTAAAATGACATCCACCCCCCTTAACAGAAAGATCCCGAATTCATAGCATTCAACAAGTTCCATGACAAGAAAAACAAATATCCAGCTAGTTTGTTGACACCAAAATCGCCTTTTCTGGACTATTCGGGTTGCGTATCTGCACATGAAAGGTTCTTTTTTTTTTCTCTTTTCTGAAAAACTGTCAAAATGCATGCTTGTACACAATCAATCCATCAATCATAAGTCATTAAGTCGCTTGCATATATACAATCTATCTACCAATCATAAGTCGCGAGCAGCTAACTACGATTTCATATACAGATACTGACGGTCTCACGAAACTGAACATCTGACTTGCACCTCGACTTCGCCCTTCTCTGCTGCTGCAGATAAACACGCCTCGTGCGGGCAGGGCCTCGCGTAGAACTTCGCGATGTTATCCCCGGGCATGATCACGGGCAACCCGCACTCTTTTCCAGCTTTCTCGCTCTGCAAACAACAAGGCAGGGCGCCATACATCATCAGCAAAAGTTTAGTACAGATGATCTCCCGGAATGGTGTCAAAAATCAGAATAAGTTGTACAACAGAGAGGTCGGTTGCTGCTACTACCTTGTGCTCAGAAGATGCCTTGCTCGGCGTTGGTCCGACGGAGATGACGGTGTGCGGGCCGTCCTGGAGCATGCCGGGATGCCGAGACCAGAGAAGGGAGCGGAGCCTGTCCCAGTGGTAGCAGCAGGAGAAGATGCCGCTGAGGGAGAAGATGACGAGGAGCAGGAGCGCCGTGCCGAGGGGGAACCCGAGCGTCGGCCTTGAGGAATGCGACATCGGGATCGTCATGGATGCAGGAGCAGGCGTGAGACCTTGCGGCATATTCATACGCATCAGGTGGCCTTCTGGTACTTGAGTCAGTCCTGCCTGCTACTCGGTTAAGAGCCCAGGCTTGCAAGCTAAGGAGACTGGCTACTTATATACCTGAAAACTCGCCTTGTGTCGTACGAAGTGGACTGACTTGCACGGCCAGCCATCCGTCCGTGGTACTGGATGATGATGGTGCTGTGGTCCACATGCATCTGCTGGTGGCCGCTAGTGCTTGACGCTGATCTCACCGCCTGCCTTTTCCAACAAAAAGAAGCTGCTTAAATCACCTAAATATATGGCTTTAGAAGGTGGGACGAAAGGTGGCGAATATACACTGGGATAGAAATTATAGGTATGTCTCACCACAAGCAAATGTTTGTTAGGTAAAGTATGATGAACTGATGCACAGGGGAAAAGATGGCAGGTTGGCGATGCAACACTGCATATATATGTTATTCTTGGAACAAACCAACAGTAAAGAATGATTGTAATTGAGTTGGGGGTGGAGGGACCCACAAATTTAGGTCATATTAACAGTGGACATGCAACAGGTGAGATGAGAATGCAGCACTTTCTCTCAGTGTGCATCATCATTTGCCTTTTGAAAAGTAATATGCTTTTCCATAGATAAAGTGCCAATATAGCTTGAGTATCCTTGACGAGATCCACAAATTTGTACGGACGGTACAGATGCAAAGTTATTTTCAACAAAATGTGGCTACTACTATAAAAACAAATTGTGACTGCTAGCTATATATCCTTACCAAGCCTGGAAGCTATGCCCAAATAAGGCAAATTAGTTGAACGGCTGAAAGCTACTATGTACCACTAGCCAATTAGTCAAGGAGGTGCCATCAGCCAGCTTTTCTATCTTCAAGGACTGCCATGAGTCATGCTTTTCAAAGCATTCAGTAACTTCAAAACTCTATCAAAGAAGCCTAGTGGAGGAAGCAAAAGAGAAGTAATCTTACCTAACAAATAGATCAGCATGAAGTAATTTGCTCTCGGTGGTATCATTTCCTAACCAGGAACATGTATCAAGAATGTTTATATTATCTTAAGCAGCCAATGTCTGGTAATATATATGTTTCCTACCTAGCCTCAACTGATGACGAAAGATGAGTTGCATGAGCTCTCTCATTTACCAGTTCTCCACTTGGAGGGTCCCACCTGCAAAAGTAACAATGGATACCCTCTTATGGCCGCACTTCCTCCTGTCGGCCAATTTTTCATTCAATGTCAGTGTGCTCCCTTCCTGCAGCAAATGGTATTCCTTCGATAGTTCACGGACTGGTTTAGAGTCAGCAAACACACACACTCCAGATATTTGTAGAAGCAGATCAAGGAATTTGGTACAGAAAAAGTAGTTATGCAAAGGAACGAGTTTAGTGGTCAAAACAAGCATACTGCAATGAGAGGCTGTGAAATACTGTCCAGTGGTAAAAACTGGTTGTGGATAGTGCCATCAGGACGCATGTATGATTTGACAGATTTCAGGTCAATTTATGGAGGAAAAACGGAAGAATTGCATGTGTTGAAGCTAAATATCTTTAGAAAGTGTTACAATTGCAAGTTAGCTAGTGCAGAGCGCAAACAACATCTGTTGGAGAAATTAGGTTGACAGAATCACTTACACATCAGCCAATAAGCCATCTGTAACGGGACCTAGCATGTGTCACTAACAATAGTGATACCTATTTGAGAGGGACCTATCAGGTAGGATGTTAGGTAAGTGTCCTTCCAGGTTACTACAGAACATAGGGAAGGTATCATGCGCTACAAATCATGTTTCAGGAAAGCGGGCAGTGGATATATTATCTGGTAGCCTTTAGCTGGATTCCAAATGCCAAAAGACATATTAGGTCGTACATTTTCCATATAAGATATTTAAGTTGTACAGTAGATATTATTTCGTATTTAAAATAAAAACGTGGTATTATAGTTAATATTCTTTCTAATTTCATGCTTATAACAGCTAGCTTAGTTTCAATATGTAAGGAAAAAAAACTCATGTTAAATTTCCATGCTGCCGCCGATATATTGAACAGCAGGTGTAACGAACTAAATGACACCAAATACACTAAGACGTTAACAATGTATAGTAGAATCTCCATTTACAAATTACAATATCCCTGTGGCAGATGAACATTTCTTTGTTATTTGGCATCAGCACAAAGCTACCTGAAGCTAAAGAGTACTACAATCTACGGCACTGTTTGAAAGAGATAATAAACTCATAAATATTATAAAGGACTTGCTATCTTCAAATAACAAACTGAACTGACTGTTCAAACGCGAAGTACCATGTTGATGTATTATATATCCCTACAATGATCTATTTTAAACACTAGATGTGGTTGAAAGGTAAAGGAAAGATATCAGGGATCTTGCCCGCTGCACCTATTTGACTAGCCTTTTTTATATCAGTTTTCTAATAAGATGTGCCTTTGGTAAAGTGGCACCAACATTAGCATCATATGCACTAACAGCAAAAGGCTAGTAAAAGTCTCGTTGGAAAGCTAAAGATAGTTCCTTGGTCCGTAGAAACTGACATAAGATATATTAGTTTAGCTTCAGAATAAAGAATCACAATGAGTTCAGTACACGGATGTAATTAACATCAGTGAAGTTAATATCCACTGACAGCAACGGGATTGTGGACAGCTATGTGCATTAGCAGACTGGCATTAGATGATAGTTGCAAATGCCTACTGCTTTGCTGAAAAACTTGTAAAAGTAAGAAACATTATATATAGAGTTATGTTTCCTCTGCAGTCCTTTGAACTTGAATTCCAATGTATGCTGATGGAAATGCTGTTGGCAGGAAGAAAATGTACTGTATAACATCGATAAAAGTTTTTTTTTACTGATAGCACAAAGTTTATGATTATATTTCAAGAATATAAATTCATGCAGTGTCAGATTGAAAATGACACAAAAAACTGAAGTAGGAAATGTGTAAATAAGATGGTAATAAGATCAGGCTAGAACTGAACTTTGATAATAGACATGACTTCTAACAGGGTCATCGCTTCTTTCCAACATTCCAAGAAGGAAATTTGATGTTTATGCAGGATTTCCAGCTAAGAATTAAGCCACAGAAAAGTGTCTGCTGCATTTACAATCAGTTCAGGTTGAGATGCAGCATATTCTGATAGATTTAGGGTTAGGGCTCTGGTACAATTAAATATTTTCCAGATGCTATTAACTAAAAGTAGTGGTGTTCTACTCAATAGACCCTCCAAAAAGAAAGAGATATTGGCATATCCCGCTTACATTATCATGGGCACAGAAATTGTGTATCCGAATAAACTTGAAATTTCCCAAATGTCAACCTCCTCCTTCAGACAAGTTCACTGCAGCAAACAAATAAGTCAGTCCATTCATAATTTGGCTAAGACCAAAACTGTAAAAAAAAAAAACATAGAAGCTTGGCGGGTACAGGCAAGGAAGTGGTGGAAAAAAGAATTTATTGGACATGGTCAAGCACCTTGACTTGCGGTGTATCGTCCAACTGCTTCCAGGTGAGCTCTGCAAGCCTCGTTGCTCCATGTCCCTTCTCACCCGCTGTGCCTCCTCATGCATACCCAAGCCCGAATAGATATTGGCAAGCGAAATAAAGTTCCCTGCATTCTCTGGTTCAATCTCAAACAACGCTCTCGCTGCAACTTCTGCCAGCCCCACCTCCCCATACTTCCTGCAAGCAGCAAGGAGAGCACCCCAGGCCTTTGCGGTAACTCTAACCGGCATCGTCCGGATAACATCATAGGCCTGATGCAACCTCCCTGCCCGTCCCAAGACATCAACCAAGCACGAATAATGATCTCCGCATGCTTCCACTCCATATGTCTTGGTTAACACATCGAAATACTTCAAAGCGTCATCTGCGCGACCAGCATGGCCGCAGGCCTTCAACACGGCGAGGAACATGATGCCATCAGGCCGGACCTTCTCCAGCTCCATACGCCTGAAAAGCGACATTGCAACGTCTCCATGGCCATGGAACGCGTACGCCGACACCATGGAGCTCCAGACAACCACGTCACGCTCGTTCACCAGGTCAAAAACCCTCTGCGCGCCGACCAAAGAGCCGCACCGCCCGTACGCCTCGACGAGGGAGCTGCCGAGATGGCAGCTCGAGAACATGCCGTGCCGCACCGCGAAGCCGTGCACCTCCCTGACCGAACTCAGAGCGCCAAGCGCCGTGCACACGGGGACGAGCGCCAGCAGGGTGATGAGCGAGGGCTTGACGCCCATACCCTGCATTCGGCGGTAGAGCTCGACTGCACGGGCTGTACGCTCCCCGGACTCGACCACCGCCGCGATCACCGAGTTGAAGCAGGAGGCGGTGGGCGTGACGTCCATCTCGCCGAGCACCTGCGCAGCCGCGGAGACGTCCCCCGACCGGACGTAGACGGAGATCATGGAGCTCCAGACGACGGCGGTGCGGCTGGGCAATTCGTCGAACAGGCTGCGCGCGGCCTCGGGAGAGGAGCCGGTGCATGCGCCGTAGGAGGCGACGAGCGCGGACGCGACGAAGGGGGTTGGTGAGGAGGCTGCGGCACTTGCGCGCGAGGGCGTGTAGGGGCGCAGCGGCGGCGGAGGAGGGCAGGCGGAGCGCGGCGGCGGACTTGAGCGCGAGCGGGAGGGCGTACGCGAAGGACGGGTCGGCGAGCGGCGGGAGCATCGGGTCGGCGGCCATGCGGGCGAAGAAGGCGAGCGCCTCGCGGTGGCGGCCGGCGTTGACGTGCGCGGTCAGGGCCTTGGTCAGCGTCGCCAGCCGCTGGTGGCGGGAGTCCATCTCTCCGTTGGGTCTTCGAGCGGAGGAGGGCCCAAGCTTGCCGACGATGCCTCAAAAACTGTGGCTTAAAAACCTTTGGGAATTTGAATTTGGTTTGAACGAGCAACTTTAGGGCTCTTTCATTCAAAAGATTTTCGAAGGAATTTTGTAGGATTACAATCCATAGGAATTTTGGAGCAACTTTAGGATTCCTACACGGGTTGTTTGATCTGTTAGGATTACAATCCATAGGCATTTTTTCTTAGGACCCATCTATAATACCTAAATAGTTCATCCCCACTAACCTATTTCTCTTGACATGCAACCTATCCACATCACTATCCACTCACCTCAACATGCAGCTATTCCATCTCAGCACTGAAGCCACATCAGCAGTTTTTTTTAAACGCACATGCATGCACAATTCAGCAAAACAAATAGCCGCTTTATCCGTACCAATGGTTCCATTTCCAACCGTGCAGCGAACTAAGCCGAACAGCCGAACTCCTTCGCATGGGCTTTTTGTAGTGAGCTATAGAGCCCACGTACCAAGACTTGGCTAACCGCCTCTTCGTCTGCGGTGCTAAAAAAAAAGGCAAATCGATCTCCCCAATTAACTCTCCTAACTCTATCTCTTCTTACTATAAGATCAATGTCGATGGATCTTTTGTGCCGGGGCAAGGCCATGCAGGATGGGGGGTAGCGGTGAGAACAAAAGACGGGACACTTGTTTGCGCCAGGGCAGGAAGGCAGGAGCATGTCACATTCGCTGCGGAGACGATGGCCATGTCGCACGCTGTCAGCTCTGCAGCCGACCTGGGCATTGTCTCAGTTGAGCTCGAGACCGACTCGCAGCTCCTCGCTGAAGCCCTGGACGTGCAAAGAGTGGATTCCTCGGTGTATGCTGCGATTATTGAGGACATGAAGTATCAGCTCAAAATGTGGTTTTCTAAATTTACAATCTCTGTCTGTAGACGCGCGGCAAATTCCGTAGCCCACGAGCTGGCCAATATTGGCCGTGAATGTAACCCAAACCAGTTCATGGAATGGGTGTCCGATGTACCTGCCCAGGTGAGCGTTGCTGTCCTTGGTGACATGCCAAGGCTTATTTAAGTAATAAAGAATTGCTTTGCTCTCAAAAAAAAAAACTCTATCTCTTCTTCTTCTACTCTACTTCCGATTCTCTTCTCCACCAAAGCAATGGAGGTGTCGATTCCCCTATAAGCAATGGATCACCCGTCACCTGCTGGTACAGGCCTCGAGGAGGAGGCGGGCGCTCGAGGCTTCTTGAACCAGCCGGCGTCGGTGGGAGACGCCGCCTCCAGCGTGCAGCCACCGCCGCCCGTGGCGACGTCCCTCTCCATCCTTGCCAGGTTCGGTAACTGACCGTTCTAACGTTCTCGCGATTCGCCATAGCCCAGTCCATTGATGGCATCACCATAGGGCACGTCTCTCTCTGTCCTACCTCGGCGTCTCCCACTGGCTAGATCTGACCTCTCCAACACGTGTTCTGTGCGCGTCTTCATCTGCCTTTTCGACTCTTGACTTTGCCTAAGCGGCTCTTCTTCTCCACAATCTCCTTTTCCTGCAGATGTACTACAAGAAACAGATGGTGTCAACACTCACGACACAATAACATAAATTCCCGGGAAACTACTAGTGGTAAATGAATCTCGGCTTATCCTTTAAAGATCAGTCTGGAGTGCACAAGTGTGTATGGATCTTATTTTCTGAAAGGAGAGTATTAACTTCCGCCACAACTGCACACAGTTTTTTTATTACTCTTACCAACATTTACGTGGTGAGTGATTGGGTCCCTCTTTAATCCACCTTACTTCATCAAATCTAATATTTTATCTGATTTCTTATTTTGTCAGATTTGGCCGCAAGCTGAAGTTAGTAGATAACCATCCCATCTGTAAGATTTATTATCTGAACCGAATGAACACATGACTTGCACCTTATATTTGTTTCAGTAGGCAACAAAGCACATGCATATGATTCCCTTCATTCCCTGTAATGCATTGGTTGGACAAATCATCGACAACCCAGAACTAAACCTCATTTTTCCTGCTATTCAATTAAGTCATAATCGTCATTCAATAAAAAAAGACAGGCTTTGATAAATTTAGGTTGGCATATATGTGAGGCAACTAGGGTGCACTGAAGCGGATCCCTTTCATAATTTCATTTTCCTCTATGCTACACAGGGTGGACCTACTGGTATCACATACAGATCAGCAGCGAAATGGTGACAACCCCATCCGTTTGCGGCACATTCATTGTTTTGGCCTCTTGATCATTCAACACCAACGTGCACCATTAAGCTTTGTCAATTTGGAGTAGCAGTTTACTGCAACCCATGTGAGCACACACACATCCATGCGAGTTGCCAAAGGCTTATGTGCTCTGTTAAGCATCCAGCCTTCAACATCATGTGCCTTTAGCAGATCTACATAATTTCATTTAGAAAAATATTACTGAGTAGATGCACCCTAATTTTTGTTATTCTTTGAGTTTTGGTGAAGCTAGACATCGCGAGTTGGAACGGTCAGGAAACCATGCCATTTTTGTCACTTTTTTCCTCCTTTGGATATTGAGTGCATTACTAACTTCAGTGCTTCACTTTTGTCATTCAAAAGCTTGGCTTCATGAATTTAGACAGAACAACATTTAGCGGCTCATTTGCAGGGGTCATAGTTAGTGCTTCGATTCAGCCATTGGTTGTGGAGTTCATTTCACATATTTATTGTGTTCTTATCAGGAACATTCTATTACAAGTTTACAACACATTCTAAGGCGTCACTTAATGTAGGTGAACATCATGTTAGATTGCATACGTCATTGACTTCATATTATATATTTTTTTATCCTTTATACGACAATATAATTGTCGCAAATGGTTCCGCAGCAACGCGCGGGGAATCTTCTAGTTTATACTATTCCATCCATCTCATAATAGTCGTTAAAATGGATGTATCTAAATATTTTTTGGTGCTAAATACATCCGTTTGAGCGACAACTAATATGTGATGGAGGTTCTTCGTAGGAAAATTTTATCAACCCAACCTTATGTGTACAATCTTACGATTTCCCTAGGCACAATCAAACTCACGCACAAATTACGTAGTATTGAAGATGAAATGACACTCCATTTTTGTGTTATTGTTCTTTTTCTTTGATTTAAATGAATTCTATATGACTTTTGGTCCTTAGGATTATTTTTTCTTAAGTTGGTTGTTTGATTCGTAGAAATGAATCATATAAGAATTTTTCTTACTATATTTTATAGAAAATCTAGCATCCACTTCAATATATTTTTACAATTTATTTGTTTTACTTATTTTTATAATTTATTTGTTTTACTTATGCCATCAAACACAACTTTGCTAATGTTATACTAGGATTGAAGCAGACTTGCCACTTCAATCCTATATTTTTCATATTCCTACGTTTTGAGAACCATGCAAATCCAAGAGGAAAGGAATTTTTTTGTTTTTGCCACTCTAGATTTTGCCAATTTTCCTTATGCCACATTTTAATATTTCACTTTTGCCGCTCTTAGTTTTTGACAATTATCATAATTGCCATTCTTGTGGCAAAAGCAAAAAAAATAAAGTGGCAATTGTGATACATTTCAAAAGATAAGAGTGGCAAAATTATGTTTCTCCTTGGATATTTTACTACTAGTAGAAGCAATGCTTAGAAATTTGTTCCATGTCTTTTTTTTTTATGTTTCTACATTTCCAATTTCTTGTGCGTTGTATTTAATCAGCATTTCGAGTTGGAACTCAATCCCCACCCACACACACACGGGATCTCACCTGAATCGCCCCATCTATCCTCTTGAGGAGAAGTTTGCTTGATTTCAAACTCTGATTCAAACAGGAGTATATCATGTTAATGTGCCTTGGATGATCCACATCTTCAAGTCAGGCGCTGATGAGCACATTGAACTATCCATGTGACTGAGAGCCCTCACCGCAACGCAATTATCAGGGGCACGCTCTACCACGGAGCTGATAGCACGTCGCACGGGCCTGCCTTTTGGAGCGGCATGGGGACGCCAAAAAAGGGACTGGTTTGAAGGCTTCAGCGTGTTTTTTCGCCTAATTAACGAAGGTGCCACGCCACGCCACGCAAGATGAGACAAGCACGTCAATTCAAAGTTAACCAACAACCAGACGGCTTCACGAGCCCAGCTACATACACTTTGGTTAGCAGCGCATTGGCATCAAGCCCAACCCCTAACTGAGAATTATACTCTCTATGTATTTTTGCACATATCATCACGGACACGGGTGTACAAAATTATATCCAACAAACTGCATGTCGACCATCACTGGAACTGGGGGTCTGCTGCACCCACACCACCAAACCTTGCAGCCGCGACACCAGCGTTGGGGGGCCGCGCCGCCACGACCACATTGTCGTCGGCGAACAGCGCCTTGATGAAGGAAGGGGTCTTCAGGGGGCGACGGCCCGTCATCTGAGGGTACACGTCTTCCAGGAAGTAATACACATGGCCAGCAATCATACCCTGAAAGAAACATGATTTACCAGTTAAGAGCTATTGTAACAACGACTATGACAGTAACATGTGAGCAGTGGGAAAGGTAAACCAGTCAGACAGCCAGCATAGTAA